TCTACCAGTACCAGTTTGAACATCCCCATGGCAGGCCTCAGGGACTCTTCGATAGGATACGAGGGGGCAGGCCAGGATTCAATGAACTGGAAGACTATGGAGAGGGACCGAGATACCCTGAACTGGAATCCAATTTTCCGCAGGAGGGTTTTCCCTTGAGACTGGATTATGTACCTTCAAATTCTTCCAGGGAAGTAAGACACGGATCTGATCAGCTGAACCCTGCAGGCAATGGACCCATGGGAATGATGTTGAGGCGGCAAAACATAGGGCAGAAATTCATTTGCCAGACATCTCCTACACAGAAGCAAAGCCTGGAACAGCGGCTCTTTTTACAAGAGAAAGAGGAGGACCCAGATCAAGACAAGAATACCCAGGAAAATAGAACAGGGTTACGTGACTGGAGGATTTCTTCGTATCTTAGTGCATACCAGTCTGAACCAGAAGAAGGTCTCCCAATGCCCATGGAATCAGAGGCATACAATGATGTTCTTGGGGACACCCCCACAAAGCACTCAAGTGACCTCATCCCAGTATTCAAATCCCCTATATCATTCAATAACAAGTCACTAGGAATTGAAAGTTCTAAAGAATTTGCAGATCCTGAGAGAGTAGGTGAAGAAACACCTATAACGAAACAAGATGCCTTTAGGTCCAGAATAAATCCCTTGATCCAGAGGAGCTCAAGACTCAGGTCCTCTCTGATTTTTAGTGCTGCCAAGTTAGATCAGCCAAACGCAATAGAAAAGGTTCACATGATCCAAAAGGAACAGATGTCCAGTGAGGTGACGAAAGACAACGAAACTATAAAGACAGCTGCCTCATCTAAAGTGGCAGAACTCTTAGAGAAGTACAAAGCTGTGGGCAAAGACACGGAGCGAACCACGGTCAGTCACACCAAAGCTATTTCCAGTTTCCTCCAGGAAGAGTCACAGAGCGCAGAGAAGAAATGTACCAAATCTGTGCAATACAAGATTCTGGAGAGCAGGGTATTAGACTCCAAAGACTCCTGCAGTACTTACAAAATGCACGGAGAGGTGGACAGACCATTTGGAATGGCGTCTTCAAGCCCCCAACTTACTGACGCATTGAGTAAAGACCCCCTAGCACATTTGAGCACTAAGGTGGACAAGTTAACATCTCGGTTTTACCCTATAGAGCATAAACCTGCTCTTCCAGAGAAGGAGAGTCTTATATTTGTAGGGGACACCCAAAAACTGAATCTTCCAGAGAAAAAGGAAAGAGTGACATTCAAAGACGACTCTCAGAAATCAGCTAATACAGAACTCAAGAAACCACAGATTAGAACAGGCACTACTTCAGTTCTTGAAAATTTATCTAAGAGTCACGGATCTGACAGCTCTCTCAATAAGTCTGAGGAAGAATGTTGCAAACAGGAACAGAATCCAATGGAATTTTTCAGAAAAGGGTCATTACGGCTGAAGCAGCTGTTAAACCCTAAGCTTGAAAAGAAATTGGAGGAGGAACCCACTTCTGAGAGTGGAAAATCTGACAAGCAGCCTGTGGTTCTCAAACGACCTTCCATAGGGGACTGTCAGGAAATAACGGAGGAAGAAAAAAATCATAAATTTGCAACACCGCTTCCTCCCAAAAGCAGCCAGCCAACTCAGGGGAGATTTCCCTCATCCACAGCTAACATCCTGTACAGCAGCAATCTCCGTGACGATACCAAAGTAATTCTAGAACAAATTTCTGCAAACAGTCAGAAGAACAGAGCTGAACTGGCCAAGCAACTACCATCCACCAGCAATCCTGATCTTTCCAAGTCAACTACAAGCTTGGAAAGGAAAGGTGAGAAGGAGAAAAGCTGTAACATCCACAGATCAGAAAGTTTCGGGAGTCAGAAACGAAATCTTCAGCGGCAACCATCAGAGGATCGAGACACTCTTCTGAAAAAAATGGAGAATATGCGGAAGGAAAAACGAGTCTACAGTAGATTTGAGGTCTTCTGCAAAAAAGATGATCATACGAGTCAAAGTGAAGAGGAATATGACACAGATGCCAAAGATAAGAAGATGGGAAAATTCATGCCAAAAATCTTGGGAACCTTCAAGACCAAAAAATGATCATAGAATACTATTTAACTCCACATAATCACTGACTGTCAAAAGAGAATGAGGAGGAAATATATTTATGATGGATACAAGTATTATAGGCRATGCACTTGTGTGTTATTGAGTGGAAATATGTTCATCATTGGCCTCCTGTGAAACAATCTGCCAAAGCCACTTGTATCAGGCAATGTTATTGCAATATATTTCGAATAAAAATATTAAATTGCCAAAGTGCTTAGTAAAGTATAGTTTCTTTATCTTGCATTCAGAGAACATTTTCTGCTGACCACACAATTCCATTATCAGTAAGGACAGAAGTGAAACGGAAAATTCAATACTTGGGTTTAAGCCATGAAAAAAAACATGTAGGTATAAATATATTAATTGAAGCTTGCTTCTCAAGTGCAGATAGCTTTTCTTCATACCTGGTACTAGAAGGCACATCTTTGAAGCATGTATAAGAAGAAAATTCTGCTAAAAAATAGGCCCTTCCTCATCTATAGTTATGGCCTTGTCCATTAGTACGTGCGCAGCTTTCAGTTTATCATTTTATAAACCTACTGGGTGTGTTTTGTTACTGTTTTGTTTCCTTATCTATAATCGTAGGTACTACTGCTTTAGAGGGTGAGCTGAGAGAAGCAGCTGGAAGGCCACAAAAGAGAAAATTTGCATGCTATGCAGAGAGGAAGATGTGTATCTAGGTCTGTACTTCAACYGAGCTGAGCTAGCAGGGAGGTTAATTAAGTTATAAGTTATATTATAATTATAATGCTGTCGTGGCCAGGCAGTAATTTACTCATGATGCAAGTCCACTTTTCTCTCTTGGGGAGGGCGATGGTTTTGTTCTGTTTTTTGTTGGTGTTCTAGGACAGTATCAAAGTAGTTGGGAATATTGTGATGCATTAAATAAACACCACGATTTACTACGGTGTTGAAAAAGACTCAGTTTTCACACACACACGTCCTTCAGAACGTGAAGCACTCAAAAGTGATCTGAATTCTCCTATGAAACTGGGTCCATATTCATGAACAAAAGAAGTTGATTCTACGAAGGATGGACTACTATATAAACASTGTAAGGAGGTAAGACCAGGACTAAGTGGCGCAGATTTCCTAGCATGTGTGTATTTTCCTTGTCTCTGTTTGCAATAAATTCTTATTTTTTTTTTACAATTGAAAAGAGAAAGTAATTTAACTTAAATATGGCTAATACCCTCCATTAAAAAAACAAAAGAGGAGAGTTCGTACACGAAGGTCTACATTACTAAAATGACTTCCTGTATTCATAAACATTTACCAACAGCACTGCAGACATTTCAGTGTCCTGACTGTGTGACATAGTGCTGTTTATTGTATAACACCACCCCATCAAAAGGTCGATTCACCAGCAATATTCAAACAGTGAAGGCACAAAAGTAATGGCAGATATATCCAGGCCAGATCCTCATCCAATATACACGAATGTCCTTTCAGCAGTGCCACACCAAGCTGAGTAAGACCCTTTCAGGTACCAACCAGWGTGTGTTAAATACAGAAACTCATACAGAAATGCTGGATGCATCCTTAGTTCATTTGCTTTTTGCAAATACAGATGCAGCTGTAAGCCCTAAATGAAATGTAATAATTAAACAGCGTTCAGTTACAGGTAAACAGGTAAATAGACAGGTAAAGCTGATCCTACCCTAGCAGGGAAAATGTATATATATCATGTATTTATAGGTATATATAGATACAAATGAGGTCTTGAGATTATTTCTTGTCCTATTTTCTATAATTTATATTCACATTATTCCTTACAATTGCAGCCTTCCAGTATTATTCTACAGCAGATACGCTGGAAGTTTGTTTCTGTAGTCACAGACTACATTGACATTCTGGAATTTTGCTTTATTTGTTTAGATGTTYAGAATTTTTATCTCACTCAGGATTTTGTTCAGTGTCAATGTTCCTGACCAGAACTAGAATTACTCATCTGTTCGGGGTGATTTTGCTTACCAAATTTGTAGATGTCCACAGCTATGGCAGAATAACTAACTCACTTGGCAACGACAGAAGTCTTTAAGAAGGAAAAGTTGTTATTGCAGCCCATCACTTCTCATTTTGGGATGAGGTTCAAAGAAGATCTTAGATTTTACATGGTATCATCAGATTGCCAGGTCAGGGGCTTTTTGTGGAAGTCACAGCCATGAATTAAGCAGCTAAGGTCCCTTTTCAGCAAGCAGGAACTGGCACTGCAGGCATTTGCACACAGAGCAGGTTCCTTTGCGCGGTCACTAGYGTTCACTGCATCTACCTGGGCTTGTACTTGACATGGATGGGAAATGCCTATTTATGAATARGCCAGAAGAAACCAGGACCTTCCTGGGAACTGCATTCTTAGCTCCCTAATATTGCCAGACTTAAGTGATCGCACCTGGTGCCAGAAATGAATGCACTACTCCTTACGTCAGTACTAGACTCTGGTGTTTACATTCTAAAAGATAAAATAGAAATATTGTCAAGGGCAGTGGTACTCACAGGTGGAATTCAGTGTCTGAATCCTATGTGTAAATACAGCTCCAAAGTTCTGCAACAACAAACATTACAATAAGAGAAGTGAAATTCTGTGGAGACTTCTTACAAGAGCGTGGAAGATAAAAGGGAGAATTTATCAAAAATCAGCATTAAATCAGGAAAATAGTTTTTAAGTTTACTGTAGTCCCACTGTTATCTGCAGACACCTTCATCATCTTTCAGTGACAGCATCTCTCAGAACATTGCTTTGTGAAAGGAAAAATATTATCATCATATTTCTAATTGAACAGGATATCCCTGGAATTTTTCCCCATACATACACAGCAAACCTTTAATAAAAGGCAAGGAATTTCTGCAGTGAAATGTAGAGTTTATTATTACAATACTTACRAAATACATTCATTCACGGTACGTAAGGTATTAAATAGAGTAGCAGAACCCATCCACTTAATTATAACAAAGACAAGCTCCCCATTAATTTTATTAATTTACCCCCAAAGAGTGGTACAGAAGTTAGTGGAAAATAAAATGAAGGGCTTTAGGATTATCCATACAGAGTGCAGCCTTCCTGGTTTTCAGAGAAAAACTGATAGTTGTTATAGTCAAAAAAAAATTAAAAAAACCCAAACACACTGACATTTAGGCAGTGCATGTGAAGCTTAAAAAGAAGTGTGAATATCTCTGAAGACAGTCAAACATCAGAAAATTGCAGCTGCATTTTTCTGAAATAATACAAATAAGGGCTAAAACCAGAGAGTGGTCCTTGTTCTCATGCTCTGAGCAAACAGTGCTGTCTTGGACCATGTCTTGGAARACTGGACGGCAAGGGAATTAGCCTGTTGTCTGTGTTGCTTTGCTCAGAGGAAATGGCGCCCTCTTCCACGTGATGAATGAAATGAATAAAAAATATTCTCTTCAGCTGGATTATCTGTCAAATGCCTCTTATATTTTCATTTGCTGTCACCAGCAGAGCTAGGGGATTGATGAGACAAGCTGCATTTCATCAGATTAGAGCTCCTAAATATATTCACTATTCATGCRCTTGGGAAGAATTTGATATTGGAAGACTCTGCAATGCAGATTTACATATGGTTCCATAGGCCTGGGAGTAACTGCCCATCGATGCTTTTGGATCTCCAGCAGCTCCCATATTTGCAGTAATCTGGAACATCTTTTTACTGGACTTCAGAAAGGGACAGACATCTTTGCTGTGAAACTGATCATTTCTGGGATTCTGTGCGAGAGAAGAAGCCAAAACATTTCAGGAACCCTTAAGCAGCTTTCTAAAATACAGACAAGGAACACAGGATTTGCTTGATTTGAGAGGTAGCACAAATCACGAATATTAAATGCATAATAAAACAGACTGTTCTGTAAGACCAGGAGTAGGGTGCTGAGAATGGTGTGAGGGAAAAGGGCTTCAGGATGAATATACTGAAAGTGCGATTAGGGGCACTGGGGCAAGGTGTAAGGACCTAGTCCTACACTGAAGCAACAACCCAATTGCCTCCTTGGCTAGTATCTTGTTTCCAACAGTTGTGAATGCTTTAAAGGTACAAAAGAGGTCATCATCATCATCAGTGAGGGTGACAGAGCACTGGAACAGGCTGCCCAGAGAGGCTGTGGAGTCTCCTTCTTTGGAGATCTTTAAAACCCGCCTGGATGCAGCCCTGTGCCATGTGCTCTAGGTGACCCTGCGTGAGCAGGGGGGTGGGACTAGATGACCTCTGAGGTCCCTTCCAACCTTAAGCATTCTGTGATTCTATGATTCTATGATCATCATTGCCCAGGAAACTCTCCAGACTTTTACCACTCTAATGGCTTGACTTTCCAAGTTCGAGGCCACATATAGCTATTGTGTTTAACAGCCCCACTCGGGGCAAGTTACYGCATACTAGGGGGATGACAGCAGGCTTGAACCTGCAGCTCAAGGAAAGATGCTCCCTTGCAGCTCCACTGWGAGCCTGAAATGCTCAGGAGTCTACTAATTACTGTGGCACTGGCCACTCTCACCCTGCTGATTATAGTAAAGTCTTTCCTGGTCAACTGGTTGTGACTGAACTGCTTAAAGAACCTGACTGGACAGTGAAAATGCTGCCTGCAATGGCAGGACCTTTAGAAGAGGGAACTGGTGCCTCCTTCCAATGTTTTTCTCTACAGTAAGCTCCCCCTGACTGCCTTGTGTTGGCTAGACTCTCTTTGAGCTAGATAGCAGACAAGTAGCCCTGAGCCGGGGAAACGAACAAACAAACAAAAGAAAGGAAAACGAAGTCACTGAAGACCTCAATGAGCATAAGGATTTGTACAAGAAAGGGTGATCAAGAATGAAGACGGAGGAGTAGAGAGGACACAAATTAAATCTCTGCTATTCAGCAACGTTGTTCAGCCATCCATTAGGCTGATTCCAGAGGTAACATGAATTCACCAGGGAATCCCAGAATGATCCAGTCTGAATCTGGTTTAAAACAATCGCTACCTACAAACTTTGGACAGGATATGCCATTACTGGAGAGAAATTAAATGCAACAGACTGATAATTCTGAAATTCAGAAGGAATCTTAGGAGCTGCTGACAATCTAAACACTGAAATGATGCTTGAGTTCTCATTAGTCCAAAGTAATGAAAGTGGAATGAAGCTGAAAATTGACCTGTCCTCTAGAAATTGGCCAAGAAAAGGTCACACAACTCAGCATATTTCAAAAGAAGATGTATTAAAAATTCTACATGGGGAAAAAAAGTATAGGTAGAGAATCTGCAGAGACATTTTTAGTTTCTTTATTGAGAGCATTTAGGTAATATATGAGATTCATTAAAGCTAACCTTTGTGAAAAACAGGTTATTAACGAGGTAGAGACCTAGATTAACAAAAGGAGCACTACTCACATTATAAATATTCTGAATAACTGGAGGTGGCCGAGCATTTGCATGTGCCCATGTGACTTGTCTCCCCAGTTTCCCATTGTGAGAGGTTCTCTCCAGCTGAGGAGGTGGTGCAGAATGGTTCCTGACCACAGGACGGGAATTTCCATTACCTACAGGAAAAATAATACATAAAGAAGAGAACTGAGGACAAAACATAGATTATACTGATGGAGGCGTGGACAGAACATGAAAACTTGAGTCAGCCCATGCCACCTTGCCTCCTCTCACAGACTTGGACTGCCCAGAAAAGGAAAAAATTACTCAGAATCAAATTAGAAAGCAGAAATGAGCAAGAAGGGCTTTAAAGGGTATGGGAAAACAGTAATTAAAAACAACAAAGAGAAAAAAAAGAAACAGTCAAGGCTGAGGCAGCAATGAGATAAGCACAAAGTCATACACAGAACCCATTGAACAGTGTCTTATTCTCCAAATCATTTTCCTTCCACTCAGTCATCCTGTCATCCTGCCATGAAAAAAATCCCATATTTCTCGTTCCCTTTTCAATCCCCTTCCTCCTTGCTTCTCCCACAATAAYGCTTCATGGTGAATTACATCCCCATGTAGGAAGGTTAGACCTACTTTGAACAATGGTGTGTGTTATGGGATTGTATATCACGTTGGTCCTTGGTCTCTGACATGAAGTTCTGGCTAGATCTTCACTCTGGTTGGATACTTCTGTGTGCATGCTAGTTGTGGTTGCAGCATGCATATGTGCTTTTCTTAGAACAGGTGATCTTGGTTCTCTCTGCCCTTTCTTGGGAGGTGAAGTTACAGAATGAGTATGTGGAAGAAGTGACCTGGATTGAGACTGACTCTGCTGAATGTTTTCCCTTGGCATTAGCTCCTTTGGATAGCTGTTGACTTTCTTTTCAAGGATCATCTGCAGGAAGGAAAAATTGATTAGACTTAAAACACCAGTACAGCAGAGCAGAAGAATAAAACAGAGAGAAAGACATGAAAATAACTAATTTCACAGGACARACCAATTACAAATGGATAGTCAGAAAGAAGAGAGAAATGCAAAGCTCAGTGGCAAGAAAAAATAGGCTAAAGAATTAAGAAAAAGGACTACGTGGGTGAATAGACATTGTCAATATATCCTGACAGAGAACATTACTACATAATATAGGCAATAACCTTGGAAAGGAGAAAAAGGTGTGTGCTAGAAGGTTAACACAATGCCATTTCTTACCATCCCTTTCTAGATTTTTACACGTTTTTTTAAACAATCAAGAGGACATTCATTTCAATCATCACATCTTTTCTTACCTACTTCTGCATGGCAATTATCAAGTATCAAAATCCTTGGCAAGCTTCTCAGGTTTTGGTGCAACCTGCTCACCTTCCTCCAATCACAGTCCTCAYTGATGTGACAATCTATCACTAACATTATTCAAAATTATGCATTTGTTTCTCAGTCTTGAACCTAGGTTAACTGCAAGGAATCTGTTGTCTTCTATAGTAATTTTCCTACTTATGCTCACTTTACTTGGTCATCTGCTCAGGGCTCCTAAAATACTTTCATGGTAAATTTATTATATTCCTTTTCTGGCCTAAGATCTTAACATAAAAATTATAAATAGGCCCAGCTTTTAAAAATTTAACTTTATTTTTTTTCAATTTTAATTGCTGTTAACAGAAGCAATCTGATAATCCTGTTTACATAGTGCAGCATGACTTGGCACTTAATTACTCTTCAGCACCAAACTCCAGTCTTTCTCAGCTATCATGCTTTACAGACTATTCTTTTCCCAGCAGGAATGCAGATTTGAAGATCTCTTAAAAAGGTTACAACAGTATGGAACTGGACAGTAAGAAATACCAAAATGTAGATATTCATGAAAAACCCTTGGAAGACAAATAGGAGAAAATGACAGAATTCAATGAGTGTGTGCAAGAACAGCACACGCTCATATAATTTATTACCTCATATAATTTATTTCGATACTCTGCGACAGAGAGCTGGATATCATCATCTAAAGGAAGAATCACATCATAATCCAGAGAGGGTTCTCTGGCAGGACAGTGAAACCTGTGAAGAAGATGACACATAATGTAACACACTAAGAAAGCACCATAGATTCACATCATGTTAGAAAAAAATTGTTCAGTCATTTAACATGACCTCCATTCTAAACAGAGGTAGAATTAGCTTTGCCTTCTTTTAAACGTATGTATAATGGAAGCCTGTGATAAGAGCAGCTTTATCATGGTTCACCAAGACAGCAGGGGAAACTGCACATTGATCTCATTCTCACCTTTTCACATAAGGATGCTGAAGTGCCTCCTCTGCTGTTAGCCGTTTATCAGGGTTAAATACTAAGAGTTTTTTCAGAAGATCCAAGGCATGTAGTGGAGTAGAAGATGGCAAAATCTCCTCAAATGTTACTCTTTGCCTAAAAGTCAAGAAACAACAGCATAAGCTCCGTATGTTTAATTCACAGTGAAGTCATGTGAAGTCATTACTGCTGTGGAAATCATATCAAGATCATACCTATCCCCAGAATTCACTCRCCAATAGTACGACACAATCCAGGAGCAATCCACCACATTCACTGAACTAAGCTCTCACCTTGTTGATTAGCCTCGATGTCTCCCTCCTAGACTTGGCAACCTACACAAAGTGCCTAATTTAGAAGTCTGCTATATCTCTTGCTTCAGATATAAACTTGCAATACCACACCAGGCACACCAAAACCTACTAAAAGGGCTTTAAAGTTAAATAAATAAATAAAACCCTTAAAGTTAAATAAATAAATAAAACCCTACAATCATTCCTTAGAGGTAGGAAAATATGCAGACAGGATAATCATTTCAAGTGCTGAACACTAGAAAGTGAACATCAAGTGAAGAGGTGGCATTTCTGTCCATATGATGTAGTGAATTGTTGGCTTCTGAGACATGGCTATACCAGGCTTACCCGGAGCTCAAGCGGTTGATAACTGAGGCCCTGTAATCTGACTGCATAGCCAAAATATCTGCAATAGAGAAAAGATACTTGATGCCGATATTAGATTACTGAAACCATACAGTTTATAAAGGAAAGCAGCTATTTGATTTTACCTTAGGAAATTAGGATAACAAAACTCAGTGAGAGACCTTATGGAAGAAGGATTAAATATTTATTTGCAAATGTTCAAAGTTGATTTTCTTGACTCCTATTCATCCTCTTACACCCTGCATATTCCTGCCCTCATATACCCACATACTCAGAAGTACCACAACACCTGAAGCAAAATGGTCTGGCCAGGATCACTTGTGTGTGAGGTAGTAGACAAAGGGCATCAGCTACTGAGTTCCTCATCCAGTCTTTTGGTTTCTTCTTGTCTGGTGATGAACTCTTTTCCATATATCTTTCAAGCTCTTTAAGAGTAAAGAGTTGTACCGGAATGATCTTTTGCTTCAGAACCTCACATCTTCGGTGTCTGTAAATTTTAGTCAAGAGGTCTAAGACTACTTGTTTGTTTTCTCTTGTTCAAAATAACGTTTTAACCATATGTTTGTTCTACTTACTTGGCTAGTAGAAAAAGAAATGCCACCTGCGATAGGATGCAATCTATCATGCTGTGTTTAGGATGCAGGGCCGTCTGCTAAAGCCATGTGTCCTGTGGTCTTATCAGAGTGTAGGTCTTATGATTTTGACGTAATCAATGCCTTCCTCAATTTTATTGCTGGGGAGTTAGCACTTTTGTTACTTCTGTAAGTTATTGTTCAAACCTTGTTTTGTTTTTTTTTTTTTTCTTGGCATTTTCACACACACATTTCTTTTCATATTTCATTCACCTCAACCTGTTATAAATCTCTGATAAAGAACATAAATAAATGTAAACTACAACAGATTTTTTTCCAAGACTGATGGCCTTAAATCAAAGGTCACTATTTTCCTATAAACTATTCACATGCTAAGTCAGAACACAAAAACATGTGGCAAACAATAACAAACTCTGTGGATTAGAAAGCAGAAAAGATTACAAAAATAAAAATCCCTTGTGTATCTTCCTCCACAAAAGAATCTTACCTTCTGCAGATGGGGCAGGGAGGACTCTCAAGATGTGCTCTATTTGATTCACAGTTGACGTTCCAGGAAAAAGAGGTTTTCCAAGTAGCAGCTCCCCCAGAATACAGCCGATGCTCCACATATCCACTCCTTTTGTGTAGCTATAAACAAGAATAAAACAGTGTTAGGACCTAATCAAGCAAGCATCTTTCTATATGTGATATTTTCAACCTCTMTATGAGCTTTTTTCCCCTTCGGAAAACAAGCTCAATCTACTACTTGAAAAAGAATCCTAACAAGTTTTGCCCATAAAGTAAATGAGATTAGAGAAACCGTGAATCAGAGCATTGTGTCCAATCCTGGGCTCCCCAGTACAAGGCAGACATGGATGTACTGGAGCAAGTCCAGTAAAGGGCCACAAGGATGATTAAGGGAATGGAGTAGAAAAGAAACCAGAAAAGGTGAATATCCAGACAAGCTCATATATATTTAACATATGACCAATAACGAAGATGCAAGTTGCTGTTTGGAAACAGCTGGCATAACATGACCTTTCAGAAGAAAGTAATTACAATTAAGCAGACTAAGTGGCAACTAATAGGTATATGACAGTATGCAAAACACACATATTTCAGAAATGGAAACTTTGCCTGTTGGTCAGATTTAGTCTTATTTCTTCTTTTGGTAGACAAAATCAGAAAATAAAATATATGCAGTCAGCTTAACATTTGGTTATAGGTCTAAGGTCTACAGGTACAAGGTGCATGGAAAACAGATTGTTTGATTACTTTTAAAAAACAAAAGATTGAAGAAATGCAGTGAATACAACCTTTTTGTTTACTTTATTATAGGCTCAAATATGCAATCTAATCTATTTGACAACAACACTGTAAAGCAGATTTTTCTGAGACTTCTATCGGAAAGTCACAGAGATTGTCAGTGGGATTTCAAAGTTAGAGGAAAGGGAATATACACGATATGAGAGGCAGGCAAGTGGGCAGAATGGCTCTCTTATTAGCACTGGCCAGTGGAGACTTCCAACTAGGGCCTTGCCTGAGGCTGCACTATTGAATGTGATGTAAGAAATTGCTGGGATGCAAAAGTAACCGGACAAGAAGCTAACCAAATTCACATACATCCCTGGAAGACCACAGGGATTTCACAAGCAGTTAAGGGAAAGCTGCAAATGATTGAAGAGGATTTGCGGAGTCCTTTTGGGGAATCAATAAGTGAGAACTAATTATGGATGGGTTGCTTGTTTGGGAAGGGATGGTATGGAAAAAGGGGGGAAAATGTGAAGAGGAAAAGAGAGAAAAAATATGTAAGGGTAGTGAATAATGTGATCTGGGCTATTTGGGAGTGCCTGTCAAACAGATCCGCATCAGATCACTACTGTTTGGAGCAGGACAATAAGCTGCTGCTACCACCATACGTGTATCTGACTTGCTTCGCTCGTCAGGAGTGAGCTGGTACATGTTGCCTGCTGTTGGTGAGGAAGCCCTGGACGGTAACATCTCCCAACATCACCATCCTCTCCCACACCTCCCATAAACAATAATAAAATGCTAACACCTGTATAGCTGATGAAGTCATTTCAGAAGACAGATGGTGAGGATCAATAATCATTCTAACTAGCCAGAATATAAAGGTGATGCAGAGAAACTCTGCAAAAAGGGAAAAAAAAATACTTTCACTTAAAAGCAGACTGTAGTCCACTCCTAAAGTTACCTCTGAGAGGAAAGTAAGATCTCAGGGGCTCGGTACCAGCGTGTTGCCACATACTCTGTCAGTGCAGGGTTGCCCTGGTCCTCGTTCATCTGACACAGAGAACGAGCCAGCCCAAAATCACACAGTTTAACAAAGCAGTCTGCATCCAGGAGGATATTTGAAGGCTGTATCAAACAAAGAAAAAATAATAAGCTCTTTACTTTCTGAAGAGTGGGTTATCATTGAAGTTCTTACACTAGTCTCATTCTTTTCACACTTTCTCATTACTATTTAAAAACAACATTGAGTGACTGCCCATTTCAATAAAGATTAGTGACTGAACTATACCTTCTGATCCCTGTGAATAACATTTCCCGAGTGGATGAATTTAGTGGCCTTCAAGAGCTGGTAGATAATGTAACACTTGTGGATGTCTTTCAGTAAATTCCCCTTCTTAATGACTGCATGTAAATCTGTCTCTGTAATACAGATCAGTAAAGGATTACAAACTGTGAATAAGTTCTCCAGAGAAAGGCCACAAAGACTATTCCCAAAACCGCAGTCTTTCAAGTGCATCCTCAACAGAAGCTGATACTTCAGTTACTGATAGGACTGCAACCCTTCTGTATTGTAAGGTCCACTTCTGAATTATAAATGTACCTGCTGTACCTTTGAGTCTCAGGTTAGCAGTTTCACACAGAGAAAAACATTTATGCTCCTTAACTCTGACCAAGAACACGCTAACTGTAAAGCTAGTGTAACATCTACTGGCTCATTCGCATTCTGTATTATATATATATATACACACCTACGTATATTTTGATCTGTAGAATTCATGCTACTGTAGTTCTATTGCATAATTTTATTACAATAAAGATCCATATAATTATCCGATTCAAGTTTTATGTTTCCACAAGCCTTCTAATTTGTTGCTCACTGCCTTCGTTCCACCTCCTCAACAAAACCAGTTCTTATATTTTTTCCCTCTTAAATTTTACTGTTACACCTATCTAACCACAACTGACATAAATATAAAGACCTGTTCAGCCCCTGTGCATCTGTCTACTTCCATCATTACTCATGTTAGTCAACAATACAATAYTGTCAAGGGAGGGAACAAAGATAACCGATAAGAGACGATGAATTTAAATGGTTGGTGCAATGCAGATTCTCACCCATGGACTCAAAGATGAGGTAGATGTCCTTGTCATTCTGAGCTCGAATTACATCATGGAGCTTAATTATATTTGGATGTTCTCCAAACTCCTGCAGAGGATACAAACAGACCCAACTGTTGGAAATCAAGAGCCTTCCTTGTGAACCAAATAAAGAAAAATAGCTTATTTTATTTTGTATTGTGCTCTACAATATTAAAATGTTATCTCATTCATTATGCTTCTACAGAAAAACAAAATATTTTTTTCTAAACTTGCTCCACAATATGGAACTGCCAAATTAATCTAAAGGAAAAAAACAAAAACAACAACACCCCACTTGCAGCAATTCCCATTTGCAGCAACCAGTGAAAATACAGTACAAAATTGTAATATAGAGCCAGGCCATCAAACATGCTTGTGTTTATTCTGGGAAAAAATATTCGTAATATCTACTTTAATAATCTAAAGAAATCTTCACCAAACTACAAAGTTAAAGAACTTAATACYGAAGGAAGCATCCACTCTCTCACACTGCCTTGCCCTGGATTTTATAGTCAAAAGTGATGAAAAAGCTTTAATCAATACTATGAAAAACATCCCACCCTGAATAAAAACTTGACAGAGGCAGTCCTGCTTAAGGAACCACACTCTCATTAAACTCATTACCAAAATCACATTCTGTACTGGGACCCAAAAGGCACCAAACAGATCTGGATTTCTGCTGAATAATAAATGYAAAACATGCCAGCAACATTATGACCAACATACTACATATCATTCAGAAGAAAACCACCAGAACCTCTGGATTCTACATACATTAGGTGGTATCCATCTCCACCCAACTGCTCCAGAACGCTATGCTCTCAAAATCTAACTTGCAATGTAAATCAGTCTCTAAGCAACTTTTCTTAYGAATTTTTAGCTCTTAAGTCTCTTGCTTTTATATCAGGTCTGAAGAAAGGTTTGGGTGTCTAAAACCTCACATCTGCTTCACCTAAGCTTAGCGGTCTTCGGAACTGTCTCTTCCTATGAGCCCTGCCTTGCTTGCTCCCTTAGATGATCATGGTTGTAACAACACGACCACTATTCCAGAACATTCATGTTTCTACATGGTAAGTCTAAGGAAGAATGGAGATAGGGTTTTAAAGTCACTGCCGCTAATACTGTAATTAGGCCTTGTGTGGTTAATAATAGTAATATAAGAGCAATGTTAAGCAATTCTGTACTGAACTTCTCCCTTTAGTTATGCCTTAATTATTTCAAGTGGTTGAATTTCTTCCCACACAAGGGAGGAAGAAAGTTTTAGCACRTAACCCTCTTTCATCCGTTGTCCCCACCTCTGAATCAAGGCATTTAAACTTCAAGGAAAAAAAACCTTTCCATCCATAAAGGAAGACATGAGAGTGCATATCCATACAGTGGTTATAAAGTAGACACATTACTAAAAATGGTGAAAGAACAAGACACATCTGCAAGAAAATATGAGACAACTCTCCATTTCATTCAGGAGCTTTTGCAAAGTCATGGAAAGACTGTTTGCCAAGACAGGTAGCAAAGAAAGGAAGCAAAGAAAAACCCATGACAACACTGACTACTGCATTTTCAAAAAGAAAGAGAAGGGAATATGGAAGTGTCGGCAGAAATAATTAAAAACCAGAGAGGAGGACCTTACCTGCAAGAACATAATCTCCCGAAAAGTTCTCTAAAAATAAAGAGAAACACTTATTATCATAACAGGATGACAGACAATAACACAGACTTTCAATGAAGACAAATCCATTCTAATCACTAAGGTAGGAAAAAGAAAACATTATGTGGYAGACAAGCGAGACAATCATAAGTCTTCTCTCAGTTCTTAGACAACAGTAATAACGTAAGGGAGAAACACATGGACATTTCTATAAGGGCACCTTCCCTCAGTAACATCAGTCAGTAGTTTATACAGACTGCGATACACAGAGCCTCATATTTTTGCTCATTTTAATCCTAGAATGAGGATTCAGACTATTTCAGACTATAATATCACAACTGTCAAATAACTAACATTTTTCAGAGTGTAGGCCAGTTGCCTGTAGGTCAATATACGTATATAGGTCAATATACAAATCCTCAATAGCTATGAATTCCCAACAAATCCTGCAGGACATGTCAATACAGTGATTTCTCACCTGAGCATCCGTTCTGTTCCTGAAAGCATCAAAAATCTTCTTAATAGCAACCGTTTCTCCTGTCCTGCGATCAATCGCTTTCCACACGATGCCATAAGCCTGTGGAGGAGGGAAGCGCGGATGAGCGGTGTGCTCAGCTCACACTTAGTGTTGAAGCAGAATGTTCTCAACGGCTTAAAAGAAGAAACAATCACTAACTACCTAGGAGACACAAAATGAGCAGTTCTTCTTGACTGACGGACTAAGAACATCCACACTGAGTCATACCAAAAGCAGACAATTGCAGAAAAACATAAACAGAATAAATAYGTAATAATATCCCCCCTAATTTTTGACTAGGACACACCTGAGCCAGACATGGTTTCAGTGTAATGTAACATCTCCACAGGTTTATCTTCTATTAGCGGTCCAGTACCAACACGTTGCTGTTCTGAGAAGAACGTTTGCTTTTCTAAGAAAGAAATCCTAGCATGACTTATCTTAGAAATCTGCCTAATTCAGTGTTTTGATTCTGAGCAAAGGCATAAAATGCTAACCACAATGACCCCACAACAGCAAGGTAGAAATCTGTGCAGTAGCTTCTTTCGGTTAAGAAATCATCTTTAAATCTTGGAACCCATCACCTGCAGCAAACACCACCAACATACACACAGAGCAGTAATGATAAATATCATCAGCTGCATTTGTCACACCAGCACCTACAAATTGCAGATAAGGATGGATGATGCAGTGCAATTAAACAAGGCCCCATGAGCTTGATTTATAAAAGTGCTTAATTTGTTCTGCTTAGCACTGCTATGATTAAATCCTAAATTTAACACCACGTTCCATCTGGGGCCTCTCATGACAAGAAGGACAGTGAGGCACTGGAGCGGGTCCAAAGAGGAGCAATGAAACTGGTGAAGGGGCAGGAACACAGACCTTACGGGGAACAGCTGGGGGCCTGGGAGGGTTATTTAGTGTGGAGAGGAAAAGGCTCTGGGAGACCTTATTGCTCTCTGGGAGGAGGAGCAGGCTGCCCAGGGAAGAGGTGGAGTCCCCATCACCAGCAGTGTTGAAGAAAGGTGTATGTGAGGTGCTTTGGGACATGGCTTAGCAGGTAAGATGTTGAAGGGGTAATGGTTGGATTTCRTGATCTTGAAGGTCCTTTCCAACCATAATGGCTCTATGATTCTATTCTATGATCTTCAGCAACCAGGTAAATGGAGAGTTATTTAAATTGTACAGTAAAATACAATAAGAAAACAGAAGGAAGGGATGTTTTTCAAAGTTACATAGCTAATTTGGCCAAAAAGAGACATCTATTTCTGGTCACACAAACACATTTGTCTCAGAGATTAAAACTAAACACACAAACCCGCACCAACAAAAAACCACAATTACTGGTATCTCAGCACTTTTACTCTAATTGCTTATAATTGCTTATTTTGCCTGATGTGCAGYGAAGGTCTGGAATCCATGTTCCAGGACCATGAATATTCCTGGGGAAGTCTACCTTAATATCAGACTATTTGAGCATAGAAAACACTCATTTTCTTATACTGGAGCTGTTTTATTTTGTATAGTTCCTTAAATATTGACTGAGCAACAGAGTACAAAATTACTCTATTGTGCAAGAGTTAGGCATTCCCTAGAATGTGGAAAGTTGAGATTCAGATCTATTAACATAAAAAAAAGAGTTGTTCCACAGGGGATGCTGTGTAATCACCGTTGCAAATATCACACTAATTAACGCACTCACCCAAAATAGGAAAAACTCAAATTAGAGTTCCGCTCATAGGCAATACTGATTTTAATTTGAAAAAAAAAAAAAAGGAAGGAGAAAAAAGAGCATCGCTCAGTCTTGATAATATCAGCAGTGCCTAGASGGTGGATCTAAAACCACTGAAGACCTTTAGAGAGTCCATGTAGCTMTGTTTCTGAAACAGCCTCCAAACAAAGCCCTCAAACACTGGGGTATTACAGATGAGAAAATAATGCCATTCTGCTGTAGGAACATAGCATGTTAAAAGATGTAATATATTACACTCGGTCAAAAGAGGAAAGCTGGTTAAGTAGTAACAAGATGGCAGTAAAACCCAGACAAATTTAGAATGAAATAAAAAAATGATGTGAATTCAAACTAGAAAAACTAGGAGAAGGGAGACAACGTGCCTCATTTGCAGCTGCAGTTGCACATGAAATGCTGCAGGTATCTGTGCAAGCCTTCAGATCATGAAAACCAGCTCATCAGGAAGGGCTCAGAGCCTGTCTTGAGGAGAAAGAACTGAGACAATGACTTTGGCTCTTAAAAACCACGTATAAAAATATATAGATACTTTATGAGTAAGAACTACATGAATGTGGCGTTATACTTGACACAATATGGTCATAGTAAATGCGAAAGAACCTGATACAATTTCTTTTTGAGGCTCATACTCCTTTTACTACAAAGTAGGTGTGCACGAATGTTGATATGTGTGGTAACACAAATTTTTAGCAAAAATATGGAAACAGGAAGAGTTCTCCAATAAACTATGGGGGTGGGATAGAATGGAAGGGAATTTACAGGCATTTTTTTCATTTTATCTGTTAAACATCATACCTATTTTCTTTTTATAGAGAAACAGCAGGAAAAAAACCCTCAAAGCACCAGGGCAAGAGTTGTGATTTTCGTCCTCTCTCGGGCACAGTAAGTAACTAAAGACCCGGTATTTCGCCAACTTTCTGGCATCCTCTCCATCGCTACTGCGGGCCGCAGCCACATCGCCGGGCCGGGCCAGCCGCGCTCCCGGGCCGCGCGCCGCGCTCACCCCCTTGCCCAGCCGCCTCTTGACCTCGTACTTCTGCGCGACGAGCGCTTCCACCTCCGGCGCGCTCATGGCGGCCGCGTGGTCCCGCCGCCCTCGGCTGCTATGGAGACGGCCGCGGGAGGGCCGCGCAGGCGCCCGCCGCGCCGGGGGCGGCGCCGGCTGTGGCGGCCTTGGGGCGCTCGCGCGGCCCGGTTCCCTCTGCGCCTTCCTCGGGGCGTGTCCGGATCCTGACATCGGTCGCGGACCCGGGGTCGTTTCCGGGTCCCGGTGGCTGACGTGGYGGGCTCGGTGCTGCGGTGGGTTGCACAGTGTGCAGCTGGAGGCCGCTCTGCACGGGTRTCCCTGGGACCCGCAGTAGGGCCGGTACCCTGTGGCCCATTCATTAGTCACCTGCGTGATGGGCCAGGAGCAGCCGGCAGGTTCTGCCGCGACAGGGACCTGGGGGTGCCGACCCAGCGCATGGGGGTGCTGCCCTTCAGGGGACCTTGTCGGGCGGGAGAAAAGGGCCGAGGGGGCCCCCCCAACCTGCCCCTGGGCAGGAACAGCCGCCGTGCCAGGGCAGGCTGCAGGTCAGCACTGAAGGCAGCTGGGAGAACCTGGTGGTTCTGGTGGGCAGCAAGCTCACCATGAACCAGCCATGTGTTGTCTTGGCAAGAAAAGGCCAAGAGCCTCCAGTGCTGCGTGAGGAAGGCACTGCCCRCGGGCTGAGCAGGAGCCTTCCTCCTCCCTGCAGTGGTGACTGTGTCCCCACTGCAAGAGACAGGGACGTACCAGTGGTCATGAAGGTGATGAAAGGCTCAGTCTGGCACACGAGGACAGGGAGGCGGGATTGCTTGTCACTGCCTCCGGGGGTCTGGCCAATGTTTGTAAATGCCTGGTGGGGGCAGCAGGGACATCAGAGTCAGGCTCTTCTCCATGGCACCCAGGCCKTATGAGAGGCAATGGCTGCAAGTTGATACCTGAGGAATTCTGTTTAAGTGTAATAAAAACCTTTCTTGCCATGAATGTGAYCAAACACTAGAACATGTTGCCCAGGCAGGTTGCGAAGTTTCCTTCCTTGGAGATACTAAAAACTCCACAGGACACAGCCCTGAGCTGCCTCCTCTGCTTGATCCTGCTTTGAGCTCCCTTCCAACCTCTTTGCTGTGGTTCTGTATCAAACACCGCTGTGGTAATACCCAAAACTGGAGGAAATGTGACCCCTGGTGTTGGCACTGAGGAGGTCATTGTTATTTAAAAGTGCTCCGCTTGGAGAGTGAATATATCTGTAGGCTATCAGAAACAGACTTGATTGCCTGTTGTTTCCAAAGTGAAGTACTGAAATAGGAAAAGAACAGAAAAAATCGATAAGAATATAGTTTATTGATAGTTCTGAATATGAATAATAGTTTATTGATAGTCCTGATTAAAGGTTGAATGTCTTATATTACTACATGTGTTACTTTAAATAATGTGGGTGCGTGCTTATTTATTTTACCTCCTTTGGAGACTAATGAAAGATTAAATTACAGTCCTTTCCTTCTAGAAGTTTTGGGAAAATGAATGCTGTTRGAAGTAGGAGCTGGCCTGCCCCAGGTCAGATTGTGGTATCTGCAGGTATAGTTGGCAGTGAAATGTAACAAAGGTCGCATCACTGGGTCTAAGAATATAATTCATGGGTGAAAAGTTACTATATATTAAAAAAWATATATATAAAAAATAATAAAAATGAATAAATAATAAATATCAAGACCTATCTTCAAAAAGAGAAAATCTCATTTTATTGTGGGGAATGAGAATTGCAGTTTCTACTGCCACTTAATGTGGATGTTCTGGAAGTTAAAGGGGAGGTTGCTTTTAGGATATATTTGGATCGTGCTCTCGGCATAGAGCGTGTGAATCAAACCAGGCACTCGCCCACAGGTCGTGTCAGCAGTTCACCTCGCTGCTGCCTCCTTCATTACCTGCCTGGTAGCAGCAGCACTCCGCTATGTCTAGTGGTGTTGGTGTGCAGGAGGAGTAGAGAAGCGGTTCTTCTSGGCTAGTGAACACATCCGAAGGGCCTAGGGAAGCTGTAGGTTTATCTGTTTGCATCGTGCACCGTGATGGGGAAAGCGACGCCGCATGCGCGCCATGTCCTGGCTGCACTGGTTCTCCTGGAGAAGCTGCTGCTGCTGCTCCTGCAGTCGAAGCCTCACCGCTTTCAGAACGTGTGAGCACTGGATGAGGTTGAACAGTTCCTGGCGTAGATGCCAGTTCTCTGCTTTTATTTGTCTGGCATGCTGAATCAGAGATTGTACTGCTGCTTCTTCTGCTTTCTTGGTCAGAAACTGGATCCTCTGATGACACTCTGCCTCACAGGCTGCCTTGGCCTGAAGAAATTTGCCCTTGATTTTGTGCATTTGTTCTGAATGCTGGATCTTTGTGACCAACAACTCCTTCTCCAGGTCCTTAATCTTGTTCATCTGTTCCAGCTGCAGGTCTTTGAAAGGCCGCAAGCCTTCAACCTCCGTGTTCATAAGAGAATATTTTGCCTCCATATCCATGAGGTAGTTCCTTACCTCCTTCTCTTTTTCTGCATACTCTGAGATCAGCTTCTCTTTCTGCTTCTTGATTTGAGATAGATCAGTGTGATTCTGGTCATTTAATGTTATTATCATATTTTGGTACTTCTGGCTGTGTTTTGCTATGTAGGAGAGATAAGCATTGCTCTCTTCCTGATTCTGCTGAGCTTCCTTTTCTAGGATATCATTCTCACGAAGGAAATGCTCCACTCTTCCCAAATATGTATTCATGTGTTCAGAAAGGGTCTCGTATTCCTTCTGCAAATACTGCTTCCTCTCTCTGACAAGTGCTTCTGTGTGGCTTCTTCCTTTGGATATTTCTGCATTCTTGGTTCTTAGTCCTTCTTTATTTGTTCCTGCACGCACGATGTCTTGTTTCAGCTTCTTCTTCTTGGATGTCATACTTCACGCTGAATCTGGGAAAACAGAATGAAAAATCAGGAATTCTAGGGGAGTGTTCTGGTATATATGAAGGTTGCCATCTTTTCTTTTTTTTCCCCAAATCAACTGCTTATAATTGACGGCTAAAATGTTTTGCYTTAAATATTTGATGTCTGGCCTGCATCTTGACTCGAAGCACACATATGCACGTATGTGTATGTGCATTTTTTATAGTTCTGGATAACAGGTAAGTATTTTTACTAATCTAAAAATATATATATTTTAAGGGTTTTTTTTTTTGCTGTTGGTGTTCAGTATTGTTCTATTTCTGTAGTTTGGAGATTGGAATCAAATCCCACTGGGGAATTATGACAGTTTTACTCGGTGTGCTGTTTCTCCATAGGCAGCGGGTCTTATGGCTAGAGCTTGAGCCAGACAATCGGTACTGAAGGCTGACTAGAGGCATGACTGAAATCCATAAGTCTACAAATTATAAAATATGGCTGCAAAATTACTGGATTAGAAGATATCTGAATTACTCTATAGACAGTTATATTATGAAGAGAAGTTTCATTCCTCCATCAAAAGCAGATTCCTGGTTTTATATTTGAAGAAGCAAATTCAAGCCACATCCATTTTGTGGAATTAGATCCTTAACTCACTATTTTCTTATTAAATGGGAGCAGAGAGGAAAGTGCTTCCAGTTTAAACCTAAGGCTTCAGTGATTGATCAGGATATTCAGTTACTTCGGGGGGTGACTATGTTCTTATCCTTCCTCTACCTGAGGTGAAATGGACTGACATCTCCTTGGACATCATCTTAACTATTAGACCATTATATAATTTGAGATGGAACTTTTAGACCATTAACTATTCTTGCATACAGGAAGAGTGAAAGAATAACTGCAGGACTAATGTTTCAATCTAAGGACACTCATGAGAGTGAGGGGAGAGTTGTGCTCCAATGCTCATTATTTTTAGTGTACACCCAGGTTTCCATGGCCAGGAAATAACATCCCAGATTAGAGAGGAGATGAAGAGACATGTCTAGAATGTATGTTTTTTTCTTTAGTTTCAAAATAATGTTTCTGTCCCTCCTGATGTCTGTATGCCAAAGGCTCACACTGTTAAGTATAGGTAAGCAAATCCTGAATCTGAGAAGTAAATTGGAAGACTAGTTTTGTAACGTTTATGAGTTACTTAGGTGACTTTAGACTTTTTGAAAGCAAACATTTTAATGCAAAACTGGTGAGATACATGCAATGTGGCAGGCATGGGTAGGAATATTGAGGGAAGGGGAAAAGCATCAATTTTAATGACTCTTGCAGACAACTGTGAAAATAAAAGTGAATGGTGGTTTGTATGTGTAACTTTTAAACAACTTCAATGGAGAAATACTGCAATCAAGGCTTTAGCACAACCAAAGAAAAGTCTGGTAAGACTTCTGTCATTAAAAAATCTAGCGTTTAATTAAATTCTATTTTTAATGAACATCTGTAACTAGAAATTACTGTATTCTAATAAAAGTGTATTTTTCAAAAAATGTCCAAAGATCAAGTAGATAGGTAAGCCAAGATGAATAAATACACAAAATCTGTTATAGTAACAATAGTACAGGTTCCAAGCTGTGAATATGGTGGTTGCACTGGAAGTGCAGTGCATACAGGGGGACAGAAGAATCTCGGGGAGAAATCAGTCCAACTGCGCTTTGGAAAACACACTGGGTGACTAGAAGGATGCCGTGGTGGAAAGTAGCAGAAATGAGTTAACTCAAGCAGTTTGGGGGGAAAGACAATTGTAGATATGTGTGAACGTTAGAGAAATGGCTAAAATTGCAGGGGAAAAACCAGCTTTGCTAAAGTGGGTAATATCCAAAATGGGCTTTTCTGAAAACCACCGGCCTTACCTGCTCCTGCAGATTTAAAGTTTCAGGATAGCTCCTGTGGTTGCTTCTTGTGTCCAACAGGACAGCGTTTGGAGAGAGCCCGGCTGTGGTTCCTGAACAGGGCATTGTTTACGAGCTGTGTGTGTCCATGGAGATGAAGGACGCGGCCACAACCAAAGGGCGGCAGCGACGTTCTGAGAACCGGTCTCCAGCCGAGTTGTTAAGCCAGGTGGTGTGACGCTTTGTTACCTGCCTGGTGACGAGCTGTCAGTGAAACAGGACGGAAGGGCAGAATGCCTTGCAAGAACAGATTCTGTTTGGAGACCACTCTATTATGTGGGAAAGACTCTCAGCTAGCTATTAGGATTTGCTAAAGGAAAACATATGAACTAAGCCGTGGTCCTCCTTGGGAATGAGGTGCCAATATCTACTCAAGGATTTGTAGACAACATATATTTGGGTATCTTTTGATGAGGCATCTGAAGTGTTACAATTTCTGTGAATGCACGTGCGTCCGTGTATTCTTCTCCGTTTTGGGCTTTCTCTCTTGGTGCTCTTGTAATGCCAACAGCCAATGCTAGGAGGGCCGTGTCCCCTCAGGAAGGGAAATGYGGAATTTCTCCTCCTCTTTGGAGGGGGAAGCGCTTCTCACTTGCATCTATGCCTTGCTTCTACTCTCTGCTGCTTCTCTAGCTTCAGCTTCAGCTAGGGAAATGAATCTTCAAAGCAAGTATTGCTTCTTTCCCTTTYYCTGGATGAGAGCAGGTAGGTGATAAGCCAATAGAGAGGTGGTCCCGGACAGCGCTGTCGGGTGCCGGGAGCCCACCATGTTGTAATCTGCAGGGCATGCCGGGAGCTGTAGTCTTTGGTCACAGGCTTTTCAAGGCAGCCATATTGTAGTCTGCCGGGCATGCCGGGAGCTGTAGTCTTTGGTCACGGGGTCTCCGGGTGGCCATGTTGTAGTCTGCAGGGCATGCCGGGAGCTGTAGTCTTTGGTCACGGGGTCTCTGGGCGGCCATGTTGTAGCTTGCAGCGCATGCCGGGAACTGTAGTCTTTGGTCACGTGGTCTCTGGGCGGCCATGTTGTAGTCTGCAGGGCATGTCGGGAGTTGTAGTCTTTGRTCACGGGATCTCCGGGTGGCCATGTTGTAGCCTGCAATGCATGCTGGGAGATGTAGTCTTTGGTCACGGGATCTCTSGGCAGTCATGTTGTAATCTGCAGGGCATGCCGGGAGCTGTAGTCTTTGGTCACGAGGTTTCTAGGCGGCCATGTTGTAGTCTGTATTGCATCCCGGGAGCTGTAGTCTTTGGTCACGGGATCTCTCGGGCGGCCATGTTGTAGTCTGCAGGGCATGCCGGGAGCTGTAGTCTTTGGTCACAGGCTTTCCAAGGCAGCCATACTGTAGTCTGCAAGGCATGCCGGGAGCTGTAGTCTTCCCATGGTGGGTTCTGGTCGATCTTGCAATCTCTTTCGAGGCACCAGCTGGGAATGAAGAACCGCCTCCCAGGTCGGAAGCAAAGACAATCCCGTGGGATTCCAGGAAGTTTTTTAAAGGACTAAGCGGTCCAGCCATGGCACAGCTGTGGTCGTCACTGCCTTCGTGCAGCGATCAGAGGCCAGTGCCCCAGAGGGGAGGGCTCCATGTGGATCCCCGCTACCCCCTCTGCAGCCCTGCATTTAGAAGGCAAGGAGGTTCACCTCATACCAAATGTGCCCCTAGCTTCAAACTGTGTAAGGTCTATAAGGGGTTAACAGGGCAGCGTGCTTTCTGCTTCTGTAAATAAAGCTTGCAYGCTGAAGATGTATAAGATATAGGCTATGTAATTTACAGTTAACTTTGCCATCTGCTTCTGTAAATCTTGCTTGCTATAAGGGAGGATAAAGACTAACAGGTAATTTACAGTTAACCTTGCCATCTGCTTCTGTAAATCTCGCTACAAGGGAGTATAAGGACTAACAGGATACATACCCTGCTCTTGTTGCTTTTGCCATGACCCCAAGATAAGTTTCCAAACATGCCAAATGGTAAGGGGATTGTGAAAAGGGGGTTAGTCAATGGTGGTCGTAAATAACGCTTAACAAAGAAGTTGTAGTCGTCTATAAAAACACGAACCTCTCCTCAAACGGCATGGATCTCAGGACAATCTGTAAGAGGTCCGCCGCCGGCAAGCTAATAAAGCTTGCTTTTAAACCACCAGGTTGAGCGTGCAGGTGATTACTGGGATTACGGACTAACAACTATAGGAAGGCCTACAGCTGCCACATCTGGCTTGATGCCCCAGCTGGGGCAGAGAGCTGGTCGGACCCCCTCACAGAATCCCRGAATGGTTGAGGTTGGAGGGACCTCTAGGGATCGTACAGTCCCAYCTCCTACTCCATCAGGTACTCCCAGAGCACGGGGCACCCAGGTGCATCCAGACAGGTTTGGAGACCTCCAGAGGAGCCTCCACAGCCTTCCTGGGCAGCCTGGGCCAGGGCTCCATCACCTTTCTACGGATGGAGATCTCAAACGGAAGGGCTCTGGAGCGGACGCTCGTGCTGGAGCTCCTTCTCTAGAGGCGAACCACTGCGGCCCAAAGCCGCCGAGCGAGAGAGCGCAGGCAGCGAGCAGCGCGAGGCAGCCCCGGCGCYGGGCCCRAGGCGGCTCTGTCTCAGCGGGACGGAGCCRGCAGGACAGGCGGGAACTCAAAGGCCACCCCCAGGGAGCGCGAGCGACCAGGAGCGCAGCGAACAGAGTGTGGTGCGGCAGTTTGCGGGGCAGTTTGCACAGGCAGGGTGGGCAGGATGGGCGAGCAGGAAGGCTCCTCCCAGGCGAGCAAAAGAATCCTGCCCACAGTCTCTTCCATGAGCGGGCGACCAGGGGAAACCATGGTCTCTACTCGTCAGAGAGCTTGYGCCAGGAAGGCTGTGGCGACGCAGACTGAACTGCCACAGAAGCGTGTGGCAGTGCAGGTCTCRAGCTGCGAGGAGTGCCTGAACCTCTCCTTGGTCCCAGGGAGTGGTGAAAACACCACCTGCCTTAGGTGTGAGCAGGTAGAGGACCTGCTTAGCCTGGTGGTGGAGCTGAAGGAGGAGGTGGAAAGGCTCAGGGCCATCAGGGAATGCCAAAGAGAAATAGACTGGTGGAGCTGCGTTCTCCAGTCCTCCCGGGAAAGGCACCCAGAGAACCCCCTGGTTCAATCTGGAAAGCCGGCACACTCTTGCCTCAGGGCAAGCCTACCTAGCCTGGCCTAAGCCTAGCCTAAGCCCTGCCCTAAGCCTGCCTACCCGCACGCTAGCTACCCTGCTCTGGCCCTGCCGCACGGTGCCCTACTCCTGCCCTCACCTAGGCCTCCCTGACGCTGCCTACCCCACCCCTAGCTCCACCCGCCGCGCTCTGCTCTAGCCCCCCCCCCCCCCCCCCCCCCCCCCCGCTCTGCTCTAGCCCCGCCCCTAGCTCCGCCCTGCCCCGGGCTCTACCCCAGCCCCTCCCTTCCGCCCGCCCCTCTGCTCTGCACTACCCCCTACCTCCGCCCTCCCCTCTAGTCCCCGCTCCCGACCCTGCAGCCTCCCCCCAGCCTGCCCACCCCCTGCCTTCCGCCCGCCCCTCTGCTCTAGCCGCCCCCTGCCTTCCACCCTAGCCCCTGCTCTCCCGCTGCTGCTCTGCCTAACGGGCCCTCCGCCCTCCCCTCTGGCCTGCGCTGCCCTGCTCTGGCCTCGCCTGCCTTCCGCCTGCCCCTCTGCTCTCCGCTCCCCTCCACCCCAGCCTCTACCCGGCCCGGCCCCCCACCCTCTGCTCTGCTCTGCCCTCTGCGCTCGCCTGCTGGCCTACGCTGAGCTCCCCTCTGGCCTCCTCTCCTCAGGCCTGCTACTTATATAGCCCAGTGCACTGTGACATTGCCGTTGCCGCCCTCCTGACATGTCCTTGCCATTGTGACCTGGCGCAGCATGTCATTGCCATTGCCACTCCCCTGGCCGTGTCATTCCCATTTGCACCACAAGGCTGAAGACTCGTAACAACCATGCTAAAGGAGAAAGACGTCAAAATACAAACAGAGCAATCCCTCCATCATCAACTTGATGCATGAATACACTCTGTGCCTGYGTAGTGTTTTGCAGTGCCTTTAAGGGCAGAATCTGGCTTCTGCTCTTTGCAATTTCTAGCTGCCTGGGACGAGCTCTGCTCCTTGCAGAGCAAGGCTGTATGCGACTGCGGTGTTGCAAAGCTGCATTTCATGGAACACCAGATGGTCAAGGACTGTGTGCTGTGGGAAGCTTTTCTAGACACAACACATTCCCCTGGGCTTCTCCTGGCTCTCAGAAATGTGAGGGCTTGCAGGTTCTGAGTGTGCGCGTGCGTCCGTGTATTCTTCTCCGTTTTGGGCTTTCTCTCTTGGTGCTCTTGTAATGCCAACAGCCAATGCTAGGAGGGCAGTGTCCCCTCAGGAAGGGAAATGTGGAATTTCTCCTCCTCTTTTTCAGAATATTTCAGAATATTTCAGAATATTT